GCTGCTCCGCAGCAGCAAGAGCTGCAGTGGTGGGGTGTATCCCCAGATGGGGAGAGGCGTCTATATAAGATATCTTTTGCTTCTCCTGCTGCTGTTGCTGCTGCTGCTGCTGCTGCTGGTATTACTCTTCCTCCTTCTGCTGCTGATACTGCTGCTGATACTAGTAGTAGTACTGCAGCAGCAGCAGGTGCTGCTGATGATGATAAGAATTCTGATGATGAGTCTGCAGCAGCAGCAGCAACAGCAGCAGCAGATCCACAACAGCAACAACTGCAACAACTGCAGCAGCAGCAGCAGCAAGAAGGAAGCAAATTCTTACAATTATATGCACTTACTCTTGCAGAGGTCAGCAGCAAATGTAGATTTACTCTCGATATTGAAATTGAAAAACAAATCGGATATTTAGGAGAATTCGATACAAAACCTGCAGGTATAAACCCTAAACCCTAAACCCTAAACCCTAAACCCTAAACCCTAATTTTTTAAAATTTTCTAATATATTGAAAATTAGAAATAGGAATTGAAGAAAGGATAAAAATACATAAATATATACTGACACACAATTTAGGGTTTAGGGTTTAGGGTTTAGGGTTTAGGGTTTAGGGCTTGTGGTGCAGAGGATGAAGTAGAGGGTATGCATATAGAAGAAGCAGACAGCGATCCATCAGATGATGAAGAACAATTCCCTATTGTAGCAAGAGATCCAACAAGGTAAACCCTAAACCCTAAACCCTAAACCCTAAACCCTAGCTGTTTGTGTTTAAATGGTGGTTAAGAGGGAGATTAGGGTATTAATTAAGAGTAGTCGGGGTTTAGGGTTTAGGGTTTAGGGTTTAGGGTTTGTGCTCTTGTTGTCCGACAGCTTCCTGTATGTGTTGGATTTAGCTGCCTTTATTTAAATGTTTATATGCTCTAGGGTTTAGGGTCCAACTACCTCCAGATTTAAGGGTTTAGGGTTTAGGGTTTAGGATTTGAGGGTTTAGGGTTTAGGGTTTAGGGTTTGTGTATAGGCATTTATTAAAGAGTTCTCCTGATTGTATGGTTAATGAGATGCTAGAGGCAGGAAAAGAAAGGGTTTTAGTGTTTAGGGTTGGTGGAGGTGACGATACACTCCAATGCAAGAGAGATATGCGTGTATTAAAGTATATTAAACCCTAAACCCTAAACCCTAAACCCTAAACACTAATACTACAAAACCCTAATTTCTATTAGAGGAGAATGGATAAATGCTAACCACTCTAAACCCTAAACCCTAAACCCTAATACTACAAAACCCTAATTTCTAAAATAACAAGGTGGATACCTAACCTAACCACACTAAACCCTAAACCTTAAACCCTAAACCCTAAACCCTTGGTGTGCTGCTGCAGATTCGATGAGTACGGCAAATCATCCGTCGTTGCTACCATTGACGGAAGCAAAGTATGCTGCTGTTGCTCCTGTTGCTGCTGCTGCTGCTGCTGCTGCTGTTGCTGCTGCTGTTGGTGCTGCTGCTGCTGCTGTTGCTGTTGCTGCTGCTGTTGCTGCAGCTGCTGCAGTAGGAATTTTTTGTCTTTCTTTCCTTCTGCTGCTGCTGCAGCTGTTTGTGCTTATTTAAGTCATTTTCCACCCTATCCAACCACTGAGGGTTTAGGGTTTAGTGTTTTAGGGTTTAGGGTTTAGGGTTTAGGGTTTATGGTATACAGGAGGAGCGTGTAGTATTATTACCTGAAGGAGAAGGAGATGGTTCTTCTTCTGCTCTTCTTTTTAATTTAGAGACTGAACAAATTATACAAACCATCAATTCAGATCTTAAAGTAGGGTTTAGGGTTTAGGGTTTAGGGTTTAGGGTTTAGGGTTTAGGGTTTAGGGTTTAGGGTTTAGGGTTTTGTCGTTAGATTGTTTTCTATGTATTGTTGCTGCTAGTGGTGTAGTTGGTATTGCTGTTGCTGTTGCTGTGGTTATTGCTGCTTCTGCTGCTACTGTTGCTGCTGCTGCTGCTGCTGCTGCTGCTGCTATGGTGTGTTTGTATGTATGTGTATATTTTGTGTATTATATTGGGGTTTCTTTCTGCGAGTTTATGTTGTAATATTTTGCTGCTGTTGCTGCTGCATTTGCTGTTGCTGCTGCTGCTGCTGCTGCTGCTGCTGCTGCTGCTGCAGATAAAGAATGTATTACCTATGAGCTCAGCAGCAAAAGGGACAGCAGAGTGCCGCTTTTTAGGGTTTAATGATAAAGATTTCTTTTGTCTAGACCCTAGGGTTAAGGGTTTATCAGCAAGAAAACAAACTTATAGTTATACACAAAATCAATCATTTACTTGTGGTGGTAAATATAAACCCTAATATATAATAAACCCTAATAATAATAATAAACCCTAATAATAATAATAAACCCTAATAAACCCTAATATATATAATAAAACGGAGAAAAAACGGGAAAGAAAGAGTCATGATAGATCCTAAACCCTAAACCCTAAAACATATATATATATATATATATATATATATATATATATATT